GGTAACCCACTATAAAATAACAAAAAATAGTACTACTAAGTAATTATTGTTAATGCCATCACAAGAGAAATGAACCCGGTCAAGTCAAAGCCACCACCCTATATGCCCTATTCACTTAGTTTGAAAATAAGAGCAACAAGGAAGGACGTTCACCCTAAACTGCTCGACTCAGCCACGGGGTGACCACGAAGCACTTCCTGTTCTCTTGTTGATTACCCTCAAACTAAGCAGCATAACTTCAGACATAAATGACCAATAAGTACTTAGTAAGAAAAGTCTTACCGAGGACAAAAAAAATAACAGTTTGTTATTTGCAAAAGGTTATGGACACAAAATTCAAATTGTCCACCTACTTCAGTATTGGATGATTGTAATCGGGACATAGTGATAATAATAAAAGTAATAAAAATAGAAATCGCGTAGAGAGAATAAAAATTGTGTAGAGAGATAAACAACGAATGGAGTAAACAAACCTTAATTGGTGGTCCGCCGATCAATGATAGAAATTCACTAATAAAACCCGGGCGATCGTCATTAATAAAACTAAAAAAATGTGTCAAGTGACAAAAGTTGCATATTATAAAAATTTGTTTTTTCGTTATGCAATGTCACATGAAATCATGCGATTTTGTAGATAGAGACTTGATTTTTTCAAAAATGTAAAATTTTCTCTTTTTTTATAGTAAAATAAATAGTTTACTCTTGGGAAGCTGTGGATTCCATGTAAAATACATATACAAAACAACAAAATTTTTTTTCGAAATTTCTTAATGTTTTTTGAAACTCCTTTAGAAACTAATAAATTTTATATTATTATTTAACAATAACCTTATAAAAACGAGGTAATTCAAGCAATTTTCATAACCTATATCAAAGAACTAATGGAGACGGAAAAAGAAAAATTCTAGATTTACAAAAAAGAATTATTAGACAAGGATGAAGAAATAGAGCAAGTAATGAAAATGGAAACCATTATTATTATTATTATTATTATTATTATTATTATTATTACTAGACATTAATAGCATTTTTTTGATGCTTTGACTTTGTATGTAGCAACATAGCAAGTAATCCAACTTTGTAATATTGAGCAGTATAACGATCACATTATCTGCATGAAAAAATTCTTCTAAAATAGATTCCAAAATAATACATTGCCGGAATGTGTCCTTAACTTGTGCACTTATAATCTGTATAAATAATTTAATTTAAATGGTAAGAATTTTTTATTATAATTATTATTATGAGCGTCATTACAACATTTGAAAATAGCTCACTAAGCTATATATATTATAAGAACGTTGTAGAAAGTTTATATAATTAAAAGAACATTATTATTATTATTATAGAAAAAATATATGTCATACGGAAATTTAAAGTATCCCTGTTACAATCTTATACTATTGTTATTATGATTGTTATTGAAATTTTTTTAAAAAAAATTTTTTTATTAGGAAAGTTGTGGATTCCATTATTGATCAAATTTTATTATGTTTAATATCCCGTGATCTACATATTGATTTCTATCGTTGATCGGCGGACCACGAATTAAAAATTTAAAATCCCGCGATCGGCACTAATTAACATATGTGTAACTTTATTGCATGGAGCCTACCCTTAAGAAGATTCTTCACACAATTATCCTGCAAAATTATTTTAGATTATAATAATAAGTTCTAACAATTTTTTCATTTTTGATTTAATACTGTGGAATGATCATATATACTTACCATATTCTCATTTTCCTTTTTCTTTTTGTAATTCATTTGATTTTCAACATTCTTAAAATCATCTTTTGTAATTCTATCTAATGAACGTTTTAAATTTGAATTCTTCCAAAGAAATATAATAATACATATAACATTATATTTTAATAAATATAATATGGAAAATCTTGTCAATTCTACTCACAGATTGACCATAATACATTGTGTTACTTTTCATACTAACCTCTTTAGAGCTGCTTGAATTCATTTCATTTGAATGCTTCTTAATCATTTCACAAGTCATACCATTATAAAGATTAAGAATCTCATTCCCTTGTTGAAATGTTGATTTATCAAAAATGTCAACTGAAGTAATATCAACCTTTCATTTCAGTTTAAGCTGTACAGCACCAATAAAGATGATTAGGCAAATATCTATATTGAAACATATTCAAATAATTCACCTATCTGTTTTGATTTGACTGATTGAACATGCTCAACTTACACATTCGTGGCTCTTCATCTTGCAACTGCAATAAAAACCTAAATCAGAAAACTAGGAAAAATATAATGGGTCGGGATGTTATAAGATGGAGGATGACACTCCATTCTCCAGTTTAAGGATGACACCAGCTGGAGTGTCTTTAACATCCCTACACTTCACAGGGATGACACTTGCATAAGTGCAAGACATTGAGCTAGAGGACGACACTCCATTCTCCAGTTTAGGAACGACACCAGCTGGAGTGTTCATATGTCTTTAGGATTATATTTAGTATAATATGTGTTCATGTATTTTTTTCACAAATCACCTTTTTAATCAATCCTTCATCAGAAATCATTTGTTTTGCTTTTGTAAAAAATCTATTCTTCCAGATGGAAAACTTATTGTACCAAGTTTTATCATCAAATTCTTCATTCACTAGTGATGCGTTCTTTTGTAAGAAATCATTGAGGGAACATCTTTCATAATGCATCTTTAAGTATGATTCTATTGCTATAATAACAAGTTCATTGTGTCAAGACAAGCTGTTATAATTCACAAACATGATGCCAAAACTTACCTATGTCAATGGCAGACATTTTTCCTTGACAAATAAAATGGGAGAAACGCATAAAACCATGTTTTGAGAAAAAAAAGGATCTACATTTCAAGGGATCCTTGAACATCAGGAAACTTTTCCCACCGTAAATTTACATAATATTATGGGGCCCACCATAAACTTACATAAATAGTGTAATATTATGCAATTATTGCATTCAGTGTAAATATTACGTCCTTTTTATGCGAAATATTACATCATTTCATATTAAAACTTACAGATGTAAACTTGCGTCAGAAAAAATTTCCTGATGAAGTCGTTGGTAATATTAATACTAATACAGTTGAACCCTCGTTTCAATAGATTTTTGGTTTTACCCCTTGATTTTATTAATATGATTAATAATTAAAAAATTCTTGTTTCAATGGATTTTATATTTAAATTGCATTTCAACGGACAACGGATTTTTTGGTAGGATTTTAGTAATAACATAATACTAATTTTAAACAGAAATAACAGGGTTGACTGTGTGGTTTGTGGCCTAGTACTAGACCCTATAAATTATTTTAATTTTTCTTTTTTGAAATAATCGAATTTCAATTTTTTAATTAATAACTAGAAACATCATCATCAAATCCATCATCTTTAAATACTGTTAGTTCTCAAACCCATACTAAAAAATAAATAATTTATGAGGAACTAAAAAAAGGAGTATTGCTTGAAAGTATTTCTTTAAATGAAATCTCACCAGAGGCTCAAGATACTCAAAATCTTAATGATGAATCTAACTCATCACAGCAAGGATTACTTGCTCTCACCACTCCTCTCATCACTTTCAATGTCTGGTTACTAGGTATTGGAGCAAAAACATCATCAATTCCATTGCATCTAGCCTATACATGGGATGGTAATCACCTAATTACCATAAATACGTAATTCGTAATTAATGTAATTAATTACCACTTTCACTCTTTAAAAACGTAATTACGTAATTAATTACGGGCAACGAAATTAATTATGAATAACAACAAATTAATTATGGGAAATATCATAATTAGGGATGTTGAATGGTTGACTCAACTGCAGTTGAACCGGTTGAGACTAAACCAAGCCATCTGTGATTTAACCAATATTAATATTAATATCAGTCTGTCCATCTGATCTACATAAAGATCCAATTAAATTTCGGCATTTTTTAAAGTCGAAAATTTATAATTTAAGGATATTAATAGGATGTTGGATTGGGGTGTGCGACATTCTAAGAAAATCAAAACTAATTAATGTCATATATTGATTGGTTATATGTGATTTTTTTT